ACCTCAGTGATTCAGGCTTTAATGATTCAGGCTTTAATGATTCAGGCTTTAATGATGCGGGCTTTAATGATTCAGGCTTTAATGATGCGGGTTTTGTGGAACTCAACTTGAGGCTGGAGTCGAGGTCACTGATGTGTTTCGCTGATGAAGCAAGGTACGGTTGGCATCACGGCATCAAAAATAGACGACAAGATTTTGACCACATGTTGGGCCACCCGATCCCCCGAGAGCGACGGGTCAGCCTAACCTTCCGACAACTCAACTGGACAAACGATTTCCAATGCCACTGCAAGTACCCGCATCTCTGTGACACGCAGAATCCAGCAAGCTTGAAAACACCAGACCGGGTCAGTGCATGACCGACATAACTAGCACATCGACCGATCTGCCGACATCACGCACGCTACCCCAACCCTTAAGTGCTACCCTAAGTGCTTTATGCGCAGTACCAAAAAGTGTGTTCTTTTCGACCTGTGTGTAAAATGGATTAGGTGGACACCATGAGGTGATCAACGTTTGCTTGTTCCTTCAGTGCCTCAACGATGGTGACCGGGAATTGGTCGTAATAGATAGGAGCGTCTTCATGGCGCGTCTTAAGGTCGTCAGGGTTTCGTTCTTTGGCAGAAATGCGAATGCTGAGAACTCCTGCATCTGCCCCATCGGTGCCAACAAGAGGGATGTCATAGGCTCTTGCTGCGTGTGGTTTGTCCATGGACTCGATCAGGAAGCCCATTATGTCAAAGGTACCAAAGCCAATAGGTGTGCCTTTGGAGTCCTCATCAAACATGGCAAAACCGATATTCTGGAAGGCCGTGTCTTCCGTAAATAGCTTCAGGTCATTCCATTCCGCCGCGCCATCGTGGACCTTTCGACTCACCGTCTTCAAGCTGCGCTGGCCCCAAAGCACGTAAACCGTTGCCTTAGCGCTGCCCAACAACTTGTTGTTGGGCAGCCCCTTTGCGTACTTCACGTCAATCTCCACTGCCGTCTCGCAGAACTTCTGCATGAACGGTCGCTGGGCCGGGGGCGCGCCTGCGTTGAGCTGCTGCGGCGCCGCAGGTTGCTGCTCCGCAACTTTCCCGTCTTGCTGCTCGACATAGTCTTGCAGGTCGGTGAGTTGGCTTCCCTTGTGGTCGACGTGGTACTGCCACATACCGATTGTGGGCTGCAACACCACAAGCAGCCAGTCGGGGTTAACCTTGCAAGCGCCCCGCCAGTAGGCATAGTGGTGTCCGCCCATGTTCATGTCAGAGAAGTCGACCGTCATGACTTCGGCAGGGGCGCCTCGGCAGGCGCCCTTTTTGGGCACTACGGGCTCGCCACCTTCGTAGTTAAGAACGTGAACATGCTTGTCTTCATCCGTGTACCGACCTTCGCCGTGCGGCCGCCCCTTCAGCCAGTTGCTTTCGTATGACCGACCGTCGTGGAAGTAAAGCGTACCACGGCCGTTCGGACGACCACCAAGGAACGCACCCACATACCTGTCGCCATTAGGCAACGACCGAATGCCCTGACCCTCCGGCACATTGTTGGCCCACATACCCTCGTAGATAAGTTGGTTGGTATGTTCGTTATACATTTTGCCGTAACCACTAAGTTCTCCGCTTGCCACGTTGCCCGTGTACACTTCGGCACCAGTGTAGTCAGCTCCAGCCGGGATTCGGTACTTGATCACTCGCCCGCCTGCGCTATCACGGTCCCAAGCGCCGCGATAAATTTCCTCGCCCTTTTCATTGAGCATAACGCCCAGTGACCCATCTCGTACACCCTTCGAGAACTGGCCCCGATAGGTCACATACTTCTTGACGTCCTCAGTCCAGTCGACAGCCTTGATCTTCTTGAACACTAACTCGCCATAACCCTCTGGTCGCCCGTCACGGCAAGCACCATAGTACGACCGGAAACGGACGTCGGGATGGTTCAACAGTGAACCCGAAATTTCAACAGAACATTGATCACCGTGAAGCAGGTCATCTTTCCACTCGCCTCGCGCCACCACCATGCCGTTCAGAGCACGGCATACACCCCAACCATTCCGCCGTCCGTCCTTCCATTCACCCTTGTAATCCACCACCACCGACCGGGCCCAAGGTCCAAGTCGGCCCTCTGCAAAGCGGAAGGAAAGCTGACCTCGACCGTCCGGTGCACCGTGCTTCATGAACCCAGTGTATGTCAGGGGGCATATCGGGCACTTAAACACGCCACCGCCATTCGGTTTGCCATGCAACAGTCCTGCGCAGTCCTTCTTGTCGAAGCTACAGCCATCAGTGTACTCCGCCAAACCAGTGCCAAAACGTTCATCGAGTCCCTGATACCCCAAATTCGGATCGATCTTCCGTGTCCATCCCAACTGATAAGGTAGATAACGTCGACTACCCTGAGCACCATCATTCAACGACTCCTGACTGGACACCTCATCACTGCTCTGCTGATTCACGTTCGCTCTTGGCCGATTGAAATCTCGTGCTAACTTGCCCAATGGTACCTGTCCCAAGGCGTTTTCGTCGCCGCCTAGACTTACACCCTCCGCATCATCAAGCACCAGCACAGTGCTACCCGTGCTACCGGCATCGTCAATCAGTAATACACGGGGTGACGCAGCTTCAAACAACTTTCGCACATGTCCCAAATTCACCGCCGGAGCATCGTGCTGTGGCAACGACTCACCACGTCCCAAAGCCTTCTGTTTCGGTAAATTGAAGTTTCCGCGGAAGCTTTTAAGGGTGAATGGTTTTGTGTCTAGTGGCTCAGCCCCCGGATTAGCCTTCAACTGGCCCGGTCCGGCAAATTCATCGGCGAAGAAGCCTCCTTCATACAACCACTCCCGACCACTTGGGTCTCGGAATAGACAACGACAGTCCTCGCCGTAGCGTTGCCCGTCTCGCCAGCCTCCCTCGTACACAATGTCTCCGCGTTGCGTCACGTGTCCGTGTCCTGCGTAGCGCCAATCGTCGTAGCGGTTACGGAAAGCACCGGAATAGTTGACGGTTTTCTGGACCGGCGACTGGGTATCGTTTCCATGAATGGTATGTTCCGGCGGGCTTGTTTGGGTATAGTCGGAAACGAGATTGCTTCGCGTGTCGCTACGACTCCCGTCTTCTATGTTCTCCGGCAGTGGAGTGGGTGGTTGGAAGGGTGGTGGATCACGTCGGTGGCTGGAAGGGATGTCGTTTTCTACGGGCGGTACGGATGCCTTGCGAGGATCTATGTATACCTTGTCGCGTCCGTCTGCGCGTTTGCGGTTCATTCCGCAAGCACGTACGACACTTTGCCAGCGTTCTAGATCTCGAGGGAAAAGACGAACAGTGAGAGGATAGACACTGGCCATTGGTCCGTCACCGGCATGTGTTTCCCGTAGCGCGCAGCCAACAGGTACTTCGCCTTTGGGCACATCATACCCATTCATAATCAACCAACACTGTTTGCCATAAATCGGCATGCACGAATTACTTATCTCACCTGTAGCAATACTCTCAACATACGAATCGTCCACCCGTCCATCCATATTCTTACGGAACACCACCTGTCCGGTCATGGTACGGGTGTATACATTGTCGGGTGCCACGGTATTGTCTACACCCAATTCAATACGTTCAAAGCAATCCAAAGGAATCCGCCAACCATACACACGATTCCAATCATACTTTCTATTGGGAGGGTTAAAACTTGGGTCACATAACATCATCTTGAATGAATTACCCGTTAACTTAACCATGCATGTTAACCAACGACAGTCCGCAGGACTAGTCGGCACCTCAGATGACTTCCACACTCTGACGCAAGCAAACATCGCTCCCAAAGGATCCGGCTTCCAGAAGTAGTCCGGTCCTCGTACTGCCAACGAGTTGGTTACGTAGTGGAGTACTGTCACCGTCCGTCCAGTCTTGAGCTTCTCCGCTCTAAATACATTCTGCCGGAGACTGGTCAAAAACTGACGTATAATCGGGTGGTAATAAGCCGTATATCCCGGCATACTCAATGTGTCCTCACGGGCCAACGCAAGATCATCCTGACTTCCGCCGCGGGCCGCCGGCGCGTTCTTCGCCGTCTCCTCCTGCTCTAGCCAAGCCTCCAACTGCCGTTGCCACTCGTCAAACTGAGCCTCCCAATTCGCCGTACGACTTAAGAATTGACGATTCACAATCATCGGATAAACAAAACCAGGAATTGAACGTCCATAATGCTCACGCATCTTACAAAACCCCTTAAAATGCAAAGGCTCCTCAGGATCATTATTCAGACGTGACTCCTGCCACGTATGATACAAGTCATATAACGTCACATCGTTCTTCGATACCGAGTCACTATCCGTTGTATACGCCTTGTAATCATATAGAGCCTGCCACTCCCGCCACAAATTTCTCTTCTGCTCCAATTTTGCACACAATCGATCGATTTTATCTAACAGCATTCGCACCAAATAATCATAGCTCTCATACACCGCATGCTTATGAGCTGCAATCTGAGGATGCGCACGTTCAAATGTAGGATCTACCAACCTCTTTCCGTGCTCGAACACATTAACACCTCGGTTACGCCAGAAATCTGCATACTCAGACTGACTCACAACCTGTGGCCAGACCAGCCACAACAAGTCTTTCTGTAGCGCTTGAGTACGGAGCGCCTTGAGCTGGATTATCCTGGCCTCAGTACGTTTCTTAGCAAGATAAAAATCTGGTTCCACTCGAAAGTCTTGAGCAACCGGATCAACACACATAACAATCGTACACGGCACACGATCCTCCGCCGGCTCCCACAGTGACTGTGATCCAAACCATGTATCCAATTCACTCTTAACACTAACCTCACGACTTACTGCATCATTACCAGGACCACGTGGCAACCGCGCTACAACTGACAACGGGAATTCATGTGCGTTAGTATCGCACGGATCCAAATCCAGACAAATAGATTTATCCTGGGCCCTTACACGAACATACATACTCTTGTTCATATACGGTACAGGATCCTCCGCCTTTAGACAAACCACCAACTCACCATTTCGCTCTGCCTTAATGTCCTCAAACATCTGCCTCTGAGTCTTAGCATTCGGTCGCACAAACCAGTGTACCGTAAACTGGTCCCCAGGATCTTCAGATACCAAAAACTGCTCACTAAACAACACCATTACACGGTTCGCCTCATCCCAAACCACATGACTCAGCACCGGGTCGATCTCAAAACCTATCTCACCCTTCAATACACGCACAGGCTTACTCAAATTCGGAGACTTGTGCCGCTCCACTCGAACATTTAACACTCCTGGAGTCGCACAGATCGCCACTGAACTAGCGTCTGGACCATGGTGTTCACTGCTGAAACCCTCACTCGGCTCTGTATACTGATCCACGTTCTCGAACTCCGGTTTCTTATCCGTTACCTTTACGTTATAAACCTTACCCGCCACGATCCCCGGTCCCTTCACGCGCAAAATGGCGTACGAGGGGTCATACGCAACCACTAGACCCGGACCCAAGTATTGCTTGCGTAAATCACCCGCTCCAGGAACCAATGACGGGTTAGTATAGAACGATAGAAAACTATCATCATCATTCTTATGCTGCAACAATGGCACGTACCGGATATAGTTATGATTTACGATTTGCATCGTCGCCATCAATCGGGAACGCTTCAACTCATCGTCCGTCTCACTCAACATGTCACTCAAAGGCATCTCAAACGGCAACGCCCTATACATCTCAGGCCGATACACACCTACGCCGTTTGCCATATGCAACGTTTTCTGCAACCCGTAACAAGCCGTTGTTAATGGGTTGTTCTCATCCTCAATCGCACGCCCATTCGACTGCGTCTTCTCCACCACACCCGGCATCACTGTCCCAATCTGATTGTTAACCAGCACAATATCCTTAACGGCCATGTCATGCACACACTCTGACTGAAACCCGTCAAATATAAAGCTGACACCAGATGAGTTGGCATGTAGCGCTTCGAAACACTTGTTCACGTAGAAGCTCAGACGGTTGCTCAACTCCCCCGGTTGACTTAGAAGATCTTTGACGAACAACCAGGTCGAGCGGGAGCGGTAGTAAAGCTCCTTCGCGAAGACACCGCATTCTCCCAAGAACATCCGAATGCTCTCCCAATTCACCATGAGCAACGCTATGCAACAGAACAGCACAGCCCAACTAGTCGAGGTCTTGTCCTGGAAAATACCCAAAGATGCGGAACCGAGCATGAGTGCGAAACACACACAAATCTTCATTGTCTCCGTCATGGCTTGGTGGGTAGCGAAGTTACGCACAAACGCCACCGCCCGACTGCGCCATATGGGGTTCTCGCTGACGTCATAGTAGACACTGATAGCCGTGTTCCACACACGGTAACCGACGTATTTTTGAGCGTCCCGTTCGATCTGCTCGCTTATCTGCAGGTAATGCTGCCTCGCAGCCTTCGAACGGTACGGCCAAATACGGAACTTGTTCTGCGTTTCAGCCTCGTACCGACAAGCCTTTCGAGCAGCAGCCATGTCACACTGCATCTGATACCAGTAGTCGGATAGCGAAGTACCAAAGACTGAAGGAATCGCAACCAGCAACAGTAAACTCGCCGCAATCCCAAAAGCCCACAACTGCTTCCGTCCACTGGGGTCGTTAACAGCTGCAGCGAAAGCAACCGCACTTAGCACTCCCACTCGCTCGAAGACCCACCAAAACAAATTCCCGCGCTGGGCCTTTGCAATCACATTACTGAACGTATCATTGCTAGGCATATCCAAATGTTCCCTAGGCGCCACCGTCTGTGATAGTAGCGAGACCTCAAACTTATCAGCAATTGCTGGCAGGTGTTTCAGCTGCACCTGCGCGTGACATTCCACCGGGTTCCCATAGTGGTTATAAACAACACGCTTGCAACTTGAAACGTATGCTTCCGGGAACTCGTGCATCGCCTTTGCGTTCCTGTTCGGGTACTGGTCATCCTGAAATGCAATCATGTCCAAGAACACTCCCGTATCATCTGTCCGATTATAATACTTTATCGCCGGCTTGTCTCCCACCAACATCTGCCTCTCATCGGAACCATAACCCGACCCCATACCGCCGTAACCGAACTTGCTAAAGGCCTCACGAGCGTTTCCCTCTAGCCAGGCCGCGTTTTGGCGTGGCTCCTCATTCAATTGAATGTTCACAATCCCCTCCTGGTTCTTCTCCTTACCCACGTCCGTACGGAACGTCGCAATCGGCGCGACATCTCGGATCTCCACACTCGTCAACCGGCCCACTAGTGGGACCCAACTCAACGGCGAGTGGAATGCCTTTATCGTCGGAATCGCAAAGTCATGCCAACGACTAAACACGTTCGCAAACACCAACGTCTTCCGCACCTGACCCAACTCCACCGCTACCACCGCCACGAAACCTAGCACAACGAACGCAAACAGCGCCATACCCGCCATGCCCAGAGCTCGTGGCGTCGTCTGCATTCCCAACACTTGGATTGGCGTGCTCTGCAACGGCGAGAACATCAAAGTAAACGCGCTCTGAGTCACTGCGATGCCACATAAATCCAACACAAAGATCCAGAACCGCACCGGCTGCAACCACCGCGGATAAATCTGCGCCAGATCCTGCAACCTGTGACTACGCTTGAAGCCTACGTACACCGATCCGTACAACACCCCGATCACCGCCAAGGACACAAAGATCGTCCCGAGCCGCCGTCCATTCACTAGTACAGCGCGCGAGTCGTTGTAGGAATTCTCCAGCTTCCTCATCAACTCGTTCCTCTGTAACGGGTCCAAGGCTGCCAGTCGCCTCCGCATCGCCGCATACTGTCCAGCCAGAGTATGGATGGGAGTACCGCAGTCATCACCGTTCCTGCAGTCGAAGAAGGATTCGTTGTCGATAGCGTCAACGTCACTCAACCCCGTGAGCGAGCGGCGGCGGTGTCGCTCAGAATCATCGGAACTCTGCCGTTCCAAGTCCATTTGGAGCGCGAGTCCGTCGGCAACGGTTTGTGACCACTGGCCACGGTTGAAGGCGAAGGCAGCGGGAAGTGCGTCCAGTGCCCAACGGTTGACCAGGTGGCCGTAGGGCGTCTCCTGGCTGACCACGGGCATGCCGTCGACTAAATAGGCTTCGCGATTGGTGTCGTATGCGCCACCTTCTGGCGTAGCGAAGGAAACGAGTTTGGGCGCGCCAAAGAGCCAGTTGAACTTGTCCGTCACGCTGCTCGTCGGCTGCCAGGTCTCAGCGACGCCAGGCACTGGCGAGACCGCGCTAATCCACTGCAGCACGTGGAAATTGTGCAAGAAGTGATACGCACGCGTCGAAGACATCATGGTCGTCGCACCCGTAACCAGTTGCAGCAGCTTCGGCCCCCAACCCAAATCGCTCGGACGCGACACCGCGACTGTGTACGTCTCCGTCACGGGGTTTTTCGGCGTCTGGATGCCCACATGAAACAGCCGCGTCTCGCCGATCGGAATTCGGAAGTACGGCGAATTCCAGTTTTCGTCCACCGGGAAGCCCTCCACGCTCACCTTCGCCTTCTTGTTCTCTGGGACCGCCTTGAACGACACCCAGCGTGGGTCTGTTGTCTTCACACCTGCCGGCGGCTTGCTCGTGCTCAGATCGGCTGTGTAGACACCGCGCGAGAGTGGGTCAAAAGTCTGCTGCAGGTCGGCACCGTTCACGTCCAGCGAACGCAACTGAGTCGAACCTCCGCGCTGCTGCACCGTCTGCAACATATAGCGCACTGGCGAGTCCGGCTTGTTCGGGTGCACACATTCGATCACCACCACTGATGGGTCGTTCACTGAACCCAGACTGACGTCGCTTGTCACACCCTTTCCCACGACCGTGCCGCGTGCATCGTCGCGTCGGTTGTAAGAACAACGCGTGTTCACATCGTCCACCGCCGTAAGCCGGAACTTGGACGAAGTCGTGCCTTCCGGCACACGCAAAAAGTAGGAGTAATGAGATTTCGAGAACGCCGGCTCCAGATAACCCGTGCTCGGTCGCATGTCATAGAGCTGCGCATTGTGCGACGGAACCGTGTCCACCAAAATAGTGACGTTGCGCTCCTCCTCGTGAGCGTAGTCCGTCAAATACAATGTCTTTGAGTCATGCGCGCCCCGGGGACGGAACACCACTTGCCCCGTCTCGTTCAAGAACCCGCGCTCCGGCTCCAAGTGGCCCAAGTCCATCATCGACTTGGGCAAAGACTGCAAAGTGATTTCCAGCGGCTCATTCTCGTAGGCCTGAACCTTGTACGTACTCATCTTGGATGTAAACGTCGGCAACGAAGTCGAGTCCACCGAACGACCCACTATCAACCTCTGCGCAGCCGGCGCCCCCCAGGCGCCAACCAAACACAGAGCCGCCACTGCCGCTCTCGTCATCTACAAAATACCCATCGCCAACGCAGATCACTCACCTTTTAAACTGCCCAAAATTCTGACCCTCTTTTTTTAATCCACGACGGACGACCAACCACCGATCACCACCCACACACACCACAGCCTCCTTCAACACACTCTGCGCCGCACGATTCAACAAAACCAGATCGCGCCCACAAACCGTCTCCTCCGCAGACCGCTCGTGCACCACCGCTCGCGAATGCCGCACGCCGGGAAACACTAAACAAAAAACCGTACACACGCGAAGCGACACTCACACTCGTAATATAACCAACCACCACCAAACTGAAATCCGTTCCGAAACATAATATAATTTCGCCGCAATGGCCAGCCACAAGGACCCCACCAAAGTGAAGAAATCCTCCTCCAAGAAATCCAAGAAGACACCCACCACACAGGAAACGCCTGCTGCCGCCACCCCCGCACCCGACGAACCCCAAACCAAAATCGAAACCGACGGGGGCTCATTCGATGAAACTGAAGGCGTCTGGTCATGGTCGCTAAACGAAGACACAAAACTCACCGTCAAGAAGGTAACCAAGCACACGAACCACAACCATGCCACTCTCCACAGTTCAACGGGAAGCCATACGTGGACCTCCGCAAATACTGGGATGGCAAACCCACCAAGAAGGGCGTCTCGCTCCCACTTCCTTTGTTCGAAAAGATACGCAACTGGAGCATGTTCGATGAGGCGCTCAAGTCCGTCGGAGTGAACAAATCGTCGTGAGGGATTTTTTCCGCTAGTCAGTGATGCAAATCAAGTACACGGGTCAGTTTCAGAACCAAACCACTGTGGGGCCAGTCTCAGAATCAAACCACTATGGGGCCCTTTGCTGATTTGACGTCCATTGCATCAAAAATGCTCTTGCGCACCACTGCACACTGTCCTGGGTCCTTGAAGTCACCACCGATCGCATTGTGCAAGTCCATCGTGGGATCCTCCAAAAACCAGTTGTTCGGACGCAGCATCATCGACAACGTGTTGCCGATTGGGATGGTCAGTGGGTAGTCCTCCGCGCAGGGAATGTGCATGAACGACATACTAGACCAAGTAACCACGTCCGTGTTCCGGAGGGGCTCATTGTCGTTGATGTACCTGTCCACAGACACTGCAGGGTCCCCTGCGAACTTGTTGTCCCGTGGCAGAGTCGCATCCAACTCCCCATATTTGAACTGTGTGCTGAACACCTTGTACTTTGCCCATGCCCCGGTCCCAGCGTACAACTCCGCATGTGGCTGGTTCGGTGACCAAGAGTGGCCCGGCAGAATCCGCCATCCGCCGTAGTTCCCGTAGGTGTTTCTGTTTTCTGAGACCACTTCATAAGCCACATTGCGAGTGTCGTTCACGCCAATCGCGCCTGCCTTCTCACCGTCTGGGAAGAAGCGATCGATGTAGTTCGCTCCCAAACGTTTCGGGTCGGGAATGACGTGCTCAAACCACACCGAGTTGTTTTGATAGTCCTCCAAGTCAAAGTCAATACGCCAGATGACGAGGTGCGCATGGAGCGCAGCCATCCTCATGGCACCCGTTACCAGCGTGCCATAGTGGGCCTGGCGATGCGAATACCACGGCACTTCGACACCCGCGTACAACTCGCCCGTAAACTCGACCTTGGCCTCCACATGGCCAGAAGGGTGGAACACGTAGGTCGTGACGTAGTCGTAGTTGCTGACGGTCAGCATCTGCCGGATGTGCAGCGCGTAATGTGCTGCGGCGTCGCGGATCTCTCCCGAGCGATAGTGGCTTCTGATTGGCCGCGCCATATCCTGTTCCCAGACGCAGAGCGACTGGTCATAGAACACCAAACTGCCGTGCTTCGGACACTCGTAGCCCCTCAGCACCGGACGCGCGGCACCTCCAAGCCCACCGTACCAGCTGTCCATGAAAAAGAAGGTCCGCTCAGACACGGTATAGTGAGCCATAGCCTCCTGCAAGCCAAGCTGGAAGACAATGCGCTCATTCTCGAACATAATATTCCAGATTTGCAGAGACTTATCGCGGTCATTGGTAACCACGAAACTCCAGCCCGCATATTCAATTGTGTAGCTCTGCCCCCCGGGGTGACTCTTGATGGTGTACCTCTTCCCACCTGGCTCGACGTGCTCAGGGGGCACTCGGTACTCAAGTCCTGACCGTTTAGCCGACCTGTCCAGATCCAGTCCGGCTGTCCCCGCCGCCCCGCCGTACGGAGAGGGCGCGAGTCGCCGCTTGTGGGTGGTAGGCACGGCCCGACGGCGGCGATCCAGAATGTCCAAACTAACCAGCTTTAAGGCGCCTTGTCGCCAAGCCTTTAGGATCTCTGCAACGCTGTCAAACGTCTTACCGTCGTACCACACCGGACCTGCATACTCCTCCCAGTTGTACGTATCCAGCAACCGGGGGATCTGGGAAGGGTCTATCTCGGATTCAATCCCAAGCTTATCTGAACTGAGCGAGAAATAGATTGGCAAGGGCTGTCCAGTGGGCCTCTTAAGACCGACCCAGATGTCGGTTTGTTCCGGACTCAACAATCGGCCTTTGGCATTCTTCTCTGGGGTACCCACGACGACCGCGCCCAAACGCAAACACTCGGTTCCGTGGTAACACTCGGCAGCATTGAACGGAGCCCCAAACGATTGGCGAAGCAAATCCTGGAAGGCGGTAAGGAAGTCGTCGGAAGCAAGTCGGCGGCCAAAAATTCCTTCGGCGTTGTAACCTCCGCAGGTTGTCTCGACAGGCTCCGCGAGAGGCAGATAATCCATTTCCTCGACATCAAGTGGCCCTACTCGCAGCTGCTCATAAAAGCCGCGGTTGTCCACACATCGACCAATTCGCACCCTCGCGTACCGTTTCGGCATTTCTCCTTGGTGATCGTAGTAACTGTAAATCTCCGACTTGTTGTGAAACAGTGTCACCCGGTAAACGGCGCTCAGGTTTAATTCCTTGCGGGAGAGCATGAACCTTCGGACTGTCAACTCCTCGTCGGAAGTCAGAGGGTCAAAGGGTGTGGTCTTCTCTTCCTTTTGCGCGGTGGGCGGATTTGCAGGGATATCGCAGAAGCGACCATAGGAGACGGCTGGCACCGCTGATTTCCACATCTCCTTGTCGCCGGACTTCAGCGCTCCATCGAGGGAGGTGCCGAGACAAAACACCTTGTAGGGTGTCTTGGTCTTAACACCTCGGATCGCGACTCGAACGTCTCTAACACCTTCCTCAATAAAGTCCTTTTTCGTCAATTGGGCGGATGCTCCAGCGCCAATGACCTCGGTAGCCGATGGGAAATCTACTCCTTCCGGCGCAGCCGCGCAGTATACTTTACCCGCGCCGTCCAAATTCACGTGGACATCAAACCCGTTCGCTATGGTGGCTACATGGGTGATTTTGGAGTTTGGATGTCGCTTGGAGGTGCTGAATTTAACTTCCTGTTCCGAATCGCGATGGAATATGCCACCATTCTTCAAGTCGGCATCGCTCGTGTGGTTGGGCCACGGTTCGGCAAAGTCCTGCGCAAAGCAATGAAGCTTGTAGACAGACTCTCCCGCTAAATTGTCAAACTCAATGTCTTGTTCTCCTGCCCTCTTGAATTGAACAAATTCCCCTTCAAGCTGAACCATATCCTTGTTCACGTCGCGCCGATTCGGCAACAGGATGGCCGAGCACCACACTTTCGCTGGCTCATCCGACGCTACCTTAATGCGAGCGTTACTTCCACTAACATTCACATCCAGCACAGAAATCCTGGGCGCCTCGATATCCGACGCCATTCTATACCGCGTAGCAGCAATCTGCTCGTTATCCATTTCATTCTTGATGCCATTCGCGTCAGTATCAGCAGCCTCGGCGTAGCAATACACGTCATAATATCGATTGGGCTTAATAAAGTCGCCCTTAATTCCGATTACTCGCACCTCTCCCGGCTCAGTGGTTGCATCACGAGATCTGACTCCGTAGTCCTTCAGCAGCTGCTTTCTGGGTGACGGAGTTCTGACGCTACCGTCCTCCAGAGCCTCAGCCACGCCACACCACACATGAGAGTTCTGAGAGGTGACTCGCACGTCTATCTCAATTGACTTATCAGAGTATTGCGCCTTAAGAATATCCAATTGTCCTATGACCACTGGAATTTGAACTTCACCTGTGCGATGTCTGATCTCCTTCCCGAACTCATAAGTGCGATCAAAGAACCGCATCTCCAGTTTGCTTCCTTCCCAACCATCATTCATGGAATCCTGAAGCATCAAGGTATACGTTCCGAAATGCGGAACACAACAAGGCATCCACGCCCCTTCCACTTCAGCAGCAGAGTATCCCCGACCAGAGCAGCTGATCGCACCGTCCAGCTTCCAGCTTTTATCATCCGGATGCTTGCCCGTGACCATGCGCACCTCTCCACATATCATTGTTTGGCCGTCCACGGTAGACTTCGGATGAGATCTGGTTTCGGCGGGACATCTTCCCTTAACTAACTTCACGTCGTCAACAGCAATATCCCCTTTTTCGGATTTCCCGGCAAGGGCTTCGAACACCGGGTGAAACGGACCGTCCGACTTCGCTACTATGGGAACGCCCGCCAGGTGCCAACCCTCACCCTTGTTGCCTACACCAACCCACCTAGGAGTTCCCCACGTGTGTTCAGAGTAGTGGGGGATGTCTTCGGAAAGGTAAGCAGGACCATCCATAAATTTTGAGGGCGCCATGTAAACTCGCAAGGCATTGACATCCTGCCCATTCATGTTGTAAGCAAACGTCAAGCACTGCCCATAGTCAGCAGGGAATAGCGCCGGACCGATCAAAACAGCCGCACTAGCGTCATTCATGTAGCCGGGCGATTTCATAATAGCATAATGCCCAGCATCCGTCCCTGTGGTATGATCGGAAGTGGGTCCACTACCAGGGGTAGTAGATTGGCCGGTTCCCAATTTCCACTCAAAATCAACCTCCTGGCTGGGCCGGTATATGGCCATGCCGCACGATGACAAAGTTTGGCCCTCAAAATCACAGTCGTACGCCACTCCATCAGACAGGGTTAGCGTGCCTATTGAATATCTATAGTCCTCCGGCTGAGGGGTGGTATTTGGATCGTCGAATCCGAGCTTGGACGCGTAGCAGAGAGTGTAGTCTTCGCCAGGAACCAATTTGGCAGATGCAAGTCCGACAACCCCGGTTGATCGAACGACGTTAGCGACCTCTACACGATCGCCGCCAACCCGGAGCGCCATTGCCGTAACTCCATCCATTTCGCTTGCCTCAAAAATTTCCGATGTGCCACATTGATTGCCGTTCACGATGGCAACAAAATCCCCCTTTTGTAGGCCGTATCCGCTGAAGCTAATCCGACAAGGACCGCGCGTCGGACACCTCAGTCTCTGATTTGGAATTGGCTTGATCTCTAAGGAAAGTCGCTGATCCCCAAACTCCTTTAATGATTCTTACCTCTTAATAAAGGCTTCTCTCGAGATGAGTCAGACACGACATCCCGCAAAAAACTCCTCTGGTATCTTCCGCCGTGGCATCCAGTTGTATCCTGAATCAGCGATGGCTTTTCAGCACCCGAGTTGTAAACTTTGGCTGTACATGTCTCGGGAGCCAGTCCTCTGATTGGATCCGCGCTAGCCCTCCATAGGAGATGATAAATACCTAATACTAGGCCGGGGTAACTCCGCATAGAATATTAATTTTGGGCGCGCGCACTTTCGAACACGTGTGTGCTCATTAATTGGAACGCATATTCGGATCCCTTTAAAGATAAGCGATTCTCTGATAACTTCATTCGTAGAAGGGTCTATTCAGGGTCAGTCACCTTTACGTTGATCGTTGCGGTCCGCGTATCCATCCCCATTTCTTCTGGGCCCAGTTCTGCGTAGTACAGCTGGTTTGTATGTATCGGATTCCTGTCCCTGGCGTCCGTCGTCCGATTTCCGCATGCTGGGAGAGCCTGAGTTGAAAGATGCGGAATCCGCCTTGGCATGTCTGTTACTATTACTGCCAGTTCCACTGGTGCCTTTCCGATTTTCTGATGAAGGTGCCGGCCGTTGAGATCTTGTTCCGTACGAACGATTGGACCTCGAGGACTCATACTTATTACCGGTAACTCTATTCTTACTCAAGCGTTTCTCCATCGCGAGCTTGACCGCCGGGCTTACGGTCTCCTCCTGAGGTACACATTCTTGCTGAGTGGATTGATTCAACCGCGGCATCTGTTCTTTTGCTAAATTCTCCATGAAATCCAGGAAGGACTGGTCTGAAATGGAAGCTAGGTTCCCGAGGATGCAAAGATTGTCTTACCTTCAGCGTACGTTCCATAAGTCGGAGAAGGCCGGACATAGGCAATTCTGCAAAGCTCATCCCCGTGGTCCATATAGTATGACAAACAGTCCCCTTCCGGTGAGTCTGGTGGAAGGGTCCGTTGGAACACAGCTAGACTACAATCGGCTCTTGAGGTAGCACCATGGTGGTCGATGAATTTGTATCCCTGCAAGAATGATTAATCACGGTGGTCGGCCGGCCTGCAACGGTTGCGAGGCCAGACTACACTGCAGGGGTCAGATTGCACTGCAGGGGTCACATTGCACTCAGACTACGCTGCAGGGGTAAGTCTAGCCCGCTCGCTCGCGCTGTGAATCAATTATGGAAAGTACGGGAAGAAAGTACGGGAAGATATCGTACCTGGTAGCATTCGATAAACAGCTTTGCACTGGCCTTGTTTGAGAAGGTGACGTACGCGACCGTGCTTTCGTCGGAACTGGGGGACAGATAGTAAGATGATGAAGGTGTATTACTGGTGTATTTGGAGATGACAAAGTGTTATATTCGTCGTCACTTCCTGACGTGTTTCCGGCGGACAGCGACTTAAAGCATCTTGTATGCTCTGTATGAAGGAGCAGGAGTCAATGGAGGAAGGCAGCTTCCGAACCATTACTGAGGTAGAATAAAATGAAGCAGGTTTAGAGAAGTCCGATGGGGTACAAAGGGGGGGGGGTGTAGTCAGAGGGGGGGGGTGTAGTCAGAGGGGTGTAGTCAGACGGGTGAATTTATTACCTTTGGTCCTAAGTCTGTTTTCCAGGGCTGTAGCGCATGCGACGAGCATCTTGAGCATGCTGCTTCTCCTATACATCAGTCCATTTGCATTCCCCTGTCGTCTCCGTCTGGCTGTGGAGAACGCGTCATCCATTAAAAAAGAAATTGGTAGTGCACCTCTATCTTACATGAATGAAAACTGAGGAGCTAGTGGTCAAGATTGACGAAGAGGAGGAGTTGGAAGAGGAGAGCAACAGGAGCAGTCGACGTCGCGTGCCACCTGCTGCTGAAGACAGCAACGCGCTGCATGTGGACATCGGGGACGGGGAAGAGGAGGAGCCAAGCGGCGCCAACAACGAAACTGAGCGGACGAACAAAAAGGTCAAGCGAAGCGTTAATGTAAGCAAGGGGTGACCTTAACGGCTGCACCACTGACCAGGAGGGGGAGGGGAAAAACCAAGGGAGGGAGGGGGATGAACTAATGCCATCCTTTCTAGTTGAGAAGTTTAATAGCCAAGTTTCAAGCACCACCCGCCACAGGGTCCAACGCGGGGGGTGATGCGGATCCATACTCCTGGTTCGAATCCAAGGACGTCCAGCAGCAGCAGCACAAGGCCGGCCTGGCAAAGAAGACTTCGAAAAGACATTAGTTCTCCCCATGAGGTTCTCCACCCACGTTCTCTGCACCCCACTTTGGGCACCCCACCTTTGGGCACCCCACCTTTGGGCACCCCAGCTTTGGGCACCCACGCCCATGTACGGACATCCGTGGAGTGCACCCACGTATGGGTCTACCCACATACGGGTATGAGCTTCCCGTGAGTTCTTTAGACAATGATGATTATCCAGACAGACCCGACGCATCATCGACGATGATGATCCCTTCTAGATATAGATAATGGTCCCTACCCTCCCCGCCCCACTAGCTAATGACCGATCCCAAACAGCCACTGACGAAATGACGACACGATCCCCTACGGGTGGTCCCCTACAGCTCCTGCCCGAATCTACGGGTGGTCCCTACAGCTCCTCACCTACGGGTGGTCCCCTACAGCTACGGGTGGTTCTTCAGCCTGTACAGGAGCGCTTCCTCAGGAGTGACTCCAGAGTTTTCTCTTATAATGATGTCGCTGACGGCAAATACGGCAAGGCGGGATTATGTTTAGTTGCAGTCCCTGACCATTTTTCACGGCACAGTAATGTAGATAACCCAAGCGAGAAACCAGATGGAACTGGCTGGACGAAGCACCGCAGATTTGCACACAGGGCCAGAAGGATTCAGCCTTCCGTGGAGGCAGCATTCTGCTCCCAGTAATGTGGTACTCCACGAGCCCCACCTCGTTTAAAGTGTCATTGTAAACGCGGCATTTAATCTTTCCTCCAATTGTAGCACTCTGCAAAAGCGCCTTGCCATTCGGTGTTTGCGGCATTCTGGTGTGATTGTGTGTAGAATGTATTGTGCAAATTTGTGTGAAAGCACACGGGCGGGTGTGCAGGGAACAAGTGAGGTGTGTGCAGGGAACAAGTGAGGTGTGTGCAGTGGACACGTACAATAAGTGTTAAGAAGCCGTGCTCATCTCTGATGCCGGCGATGGTGCATATAAGGTCTTGTTTCTTAATGAACTTTTCGGAAACGTAACAGAGGCTGCGTTTGAAGACCCCGAACAGCGACAGCCCTGCATCAACTGAGCTGGGCCGTTTGATTAGCCGGATTTCCGCAAGAGGTGGTCCCGTGCACACTGCCATCAGATTCGAACCCAGGCCGGTTCGTATTCCATCGACGTCCTGTACCGGAGACCGCATGGGCGACCGTTGGGAAAGTTTTTCGGGCGTGGCGGCAGAGTGGTTGTCAGCGGCAGAGCGGGAGGTGGCTGGATGGCTCCAGAAGGAGACGTAGACGTGGTCGTCGTAGAGGTCGGTGGCGGCAACGACACGGTCGTCAGCCCAGATGGCGCCGGTGGTGCTTCGCGTGTGTTCGGCGAAGTCGAAGGACTCGGAGGAGCCACGTGAGCATGCCGATTGGCTGCTCGGTGAAAACTCAGCACAGTCCACCCAAGGCGTCCGGGTCTCCGCCACCCACGGGCTTGCACCACGACTCGTTTGGTCCACAAAGGCGCGACCCAACACACGACCAGACCACCACGAGTAAAGAATTAAAGCACCACTCGCAGACTCATACCAGAAAGCCGGCGTCCGCGCTTGCAAGGCTTTAGGGGGGGCAACTGGCGACGCACCTGTGCCCAGTGACACCATCCAACTCCAGGTCTTCAAGTCGTACAGGTGCAAAGTTCGGTGACTGCTTACTACCAACACGCCCACCCGTTCTTCCACCACGGGGGGTCCATAAGGAGGGATTCCAGAACGAGGGCGTCCAGAAGGAGGGAATGCAGAGGGAGGAAGTGCTCCTTCCTGACTCCCTTCCGGGTCGTCGTTGGTAGCCGGTCGGGGCACGACGTGTGAGGTCAGGTCGGTCACGGGACCGCCGATGACTAGCCGGTGCAGGACGGTGCTCGTGGCCGCGTCGACCACGACCACGACGGAAGGCTCCGCTTCCGTGACATAAATCACAAGAGGCGCTGAACTCTCCTGCGACCGATGCTTGCCCGCAGTTGGTGCACCCGTCTGATCGTCCCCTCTAGGACTAGGAGTCGCCGCGGCCGAGTCAGGAGCCGCAGCCGGGTCGTGAGCCGGGTCAGGATCGTGCTCATTGGACGTAGGTTCGCTCGACAGGTCGGGCTGCGTCTCAGTATATGTGGGCACGGGACAGAGGCTGTCGTGTGCGGAAACCACACACGCACATACAACGCCTTCCGCCACTGTTACGTTCCATAATGTCCGCGGCAACGCGTCCTCTTCGACCCGGACCACCTGAAGTCCATCGCTGTAGCACAACACGATCCAGGGTCCCTCAAATCGGGCCGCCGTCAAGTGCTCCACGTCCTCGTCTATCGCCCTTGCCTGCCGCAACAACTTCTGCACCAACGTCCGTTAGAAAGACTTGGGGGGGGGGGGGGGGTTGGAGTAGGGCCTACGTTGACTTTAAGGAGGACGTTCCGGCTAACAAAACTGCGGACCCGGGCCGACTGGTTCATTTGGGGGCTCGTCGAAAGCAGCTCCCAAAAATTCCAGGACGCGGAGGTGTGCTGGGTGCGATCGGTGCTCTTTGGAAAAGTTTAAGAATGCCTCCAGTGTGCCGCTCGTCTGTGCCTGGGGCAACCCGGGTCGAACCGTCGTGGGTAGATCGGGTGGTAGGTTCTTTGACGGGGCTATGCGCCGTCGCCCTTTACCGCGGGCAAGATTCCTCAAACCAGCATCGGAGAAAGAGCGCACGAGGACCTGATTAACAATACGCCCATTGATCGAACAGGTCAGCTGCGGCTTCAGATAGCGTTTCACGGAGTAGGCAGTCGTCAAGGGTGCGAGATAAGCAAGTCGCATATAGTCCTCCAGAGTCAAAAGTGTGAGACATGCCGCACGCACGGCACACGCGCTTAACCTCCGCCCATCGTTACTAGAACCTGAACCGTGGTGATTCCTCTCCCCACTAGGGCGATTGCTCTCCCCACTAGGGCGATTCCCTTCCCCACTAGGGCGGTTTCCTTCCCCACTGGGGCGGTTTCCTTCCCCAATAGGGCGGTTTCCTTCCCCAATAGGGCGGTTTCCTTCCCCACTGGGTCGGCTGTTCGCCAGACTGCTGTCGTGGAGTTCGCTTTGAGCCTGCCAGAGCCATTCCTTGGCGTAGTCGGAGGCAAGTTTACCGAAACGGTCCTTAGTCTCCGGGTCAACGCCGGCAGAGATGAGGAGTTCGACGATATTAGCCTTGTTATCGAGACTGCCGGCCCAGCCAGGTTGGGCAGGTTCGAGAATCTGGCACTTGGTCGGACCGGGTTGCGGTGGGCTGACGGAAGGGGCGTGTATCCGCGGGGTTAAAATTGAACCGCGTAACGTCCCGTTCGTAGGGCTTTCTTCCGAGCGACTGCTTGTCCGAGTAGGTGGCTCACCCTCATGACGGAGTGGCTCACCCCCATGGCGGGGTGGGTCACCCCCGTGGCGGGGTGGGTCACCCCCATGGCGGGGTGGGTCACCCCCGTGGCGGGGTGGGTCACCCCCATGACGGAGTGGCTCACCCCCATGACGGGGTGGGTCACCCCCATGACGGGGTGGGTCACCCCCGTGGCGGGGTGGGTCACCCCCATGGCGGGGTGGGTCACCCCCATGGCGGGGTGGGTCACCCCCATGGCAGGGTGGGTCACCCCCATGGCAGGGTGGGTCGCCCCCTGCCGTCGGTGCAAGATGGTGAGTAGTCTGGGCTAGCTGTGTGTCGGCCAATTGGGGCAGGTCGTCCGGAAGGGGGAGGAAGAGTTGGTGGAGGAGAGTATGGCCAGCTTGATCGGTGCAGGTGGCTTGGTCTGCATCCAGATGGAGGAGTGTCCGCACCAGTTCAGCGGAACTGACTTTGGCTGCCAGGGCAAGAGGAGGAGCGTAAGAGGTGCCTCCGGGATATGCAAACAAGTGCGCAAGTCGACCTGGCACGGGCAGCAAGGCCTCCAGTTCGTTGCCGCAACGACGGTACACGTTTTCTACAAAGGCCGCCGTACCCGTCGCGATACCCATCATTACAGCAACACGGCCCGCACTACAACGACGTCGCGGAGCCAGATAACCCGCCGCCACACTCGACGGAGGAGACACGTGACTCGTAGATGATCGACGACCCGACTTCCATTCACAAGTCGGTGTTGGTGTGGCTCTCGCCGGCACCTGTGGCGTCCTGGAAGGCCCCGGCCACGGGGGCTGCGCCCCCGGGCCCAGGGGGGCCTGGTTCATGGCCCCCGGGTGCAGCCCCCAAGATGGCTGAGTCTCGAGAGGAGGTTGCGGTTCCGGTGCAGACTCTGGTGACCACCGAGCCGTAAAGATCTCTCGGACCAACGACTGCTGAGTCGCGCTGCTCTCGTCGCAATAGTGGGCCCGGTGCCGGCTGCCACCGGTCCGCGCGTTCGGTCGGCCGCTGCCTCCAGGACGACTGCCGTCTGAACGACCGGCGGGGCCGGGCCGGCCGCCGACGCCGTAGCCGGGACTGGGGCCGTAGCGGGGCTTCGGACCGTAGTTGAGTCCGAAGTTTGTGCGCTGAGTCTCGGGCAGGTCGACTTCTTTCACTGTGAGCAGTCGCGCCATTGTGGGCGAGAAAGATGGACCGAAGACGGTCGCGGGTTGTGGCGTCTTGCTCTCGGTGCCTTCGGACGTGAGCGTTTGGTGCTCTTCCGCGCCCCGCAATACCGGACGCCAGCCCGAACGACTGGCCGCTGAAAGGCTGCTTGACTCTTCGCGACGTCGACTCTCGCTCCACCCTGTGGTCGTCCCGCAGCTATGAGCCTGCTGCCCCCGGTCAGGGTGCTTGTCGCCCGTCGACCCGTCCGCCGAGCAGTTGGTGGCGGAACAGTTGGTGGCGGAACATTGAGCAGCGGAACATTTGTCCAGTTCCTTGTTGTGGCCTGCGTTGTTGTCGCCTGTTCCAGGAATGATGGTGCCACTGTCTCGGGAGGAGGAGCGACTGGTTCGGGGCGTGGAATCGAGGAGACTCCGTTTCCGATCGCTTTCGAAAACAAGACCACGTCCGGCCCAGCAAAGGTCGTCTTTGGACGCGTGCACTTTCTCAGTTATTGGCGAGGCTGTGCCGCGGTAGTGAGTTGCGAAGGTGGAGCTGAGATATCCGCCAGCACGCAGCTCTCGGCCTATCCGTTGTCGCACCCCAAGCTGGCCGTGCATCATGACCCCCCCTATCTGACCAGGCATGTGGGCCCCTCCTATCTGACCGGGCATGTGGTCCCCCGTGTAACCGACCATCTGGCTGCTTTCTCGTTCGCTACCAGAGATCTCCGCCGGCGTGTCGGTGGCCAGGCATTTACTGCCACTGGAGTAACTTCCGTGCCGGTGACCGGTTTCAAAGCAGTGGCCGGTTTCAGAGCACTGACCGGTTTCAAGGCAGTGTCCAGTAAGGGCAAACAGAGAGTCCAGCTGGGCCGGGTCGGTCTCGCCCCAGTGTCTGCCAGCCGCAAATTCCCGTCGTCCGGTGACGGCTCGACCGCCCTTGAGCTTTCCGTCCGAGACGTTTCGTTTCGAGAGCATACCAGTGGGCAAGTGTGACTCGTGATCCATGTCGGCGGCGGGCCTCCGTCGTTGATCCGGCGCCGCCTTCCGACCTGGCACTTGATTGTCCGAAAGCAAAAGACACTCTTCGGGAAACGGCAGCCTGGTCGGTAGCGGCACGGACGCACAGTGGTGCGGAAGCTGCACACCTCGCCCAACTAGCATCGAGGCCGACTTGATCCGGTTGTGCTCCGACTGCACATAGTGTCCAAGTTGTCCGGCCGGTTGCAGTGCAAATGGTTGGGCACGTTGTCCGGGTGGTACATGTTGTCCGGGTGGTACATGTTGTCCGGGTGGTACATGTTGTCCGGGTGGTACATGTTGTCCAAATTGTTGCGCTGGTTGTCGCGCATGTTGGTGTGTTCTATCATTGTATCTAGTCATTGAGGGGTAGCGCAAATTGCCTTTGTGTGCAGCACCGGACTTGCCGCCATCAACAATGCCACCTAGGGTTGCCGAGACCTGGCCGCCAGTCCTAGCTGTAGGCAAGTTGGGCATCAATACATTTGGGGAGTGCGGCCGTGTGAGAGGCATTCGGTCATCAAGGGTTCGGTCACCAAGGGTTCGGTCACCAAGGGTTCGGTCACCAAGGGTTCGGTCACCAAGGGTTCGGTCATCAAGGGTTCGGTCACCAAGGGTTCGGTCACCAAGGGTTCGGTCACCAAGGGTTCGGTCATCAAGGGTTCGGTCACCAAGGGTTCGGTCACCGAAGGGTTCGGT